GTGTGGGGGTGTGGGTGTGTGTGTGTGTGGGCCGCGCATCCTGCTGATGGTGGTGTGAAGATTCGTTTGCCGGGATGTAGTGACGGTCCGCAGCAGGATGCCTTATCCTGTAAGTCACGTAGCAAGCATGTGAACTGGCTAAGCCTGGGGTGTACAACGGACTGTCGTCTGCGAAACGTAGGTGCGTGATACTAGCTTCTCGAGCGTATCCAAGCTTGATGCCGAACTTCCTGCCGGTGCCAGCTGCGCTGGATTTGCCAGTAGGTGTGATCCAACAGCGCATTGAACACACGCCGCCGTATGCTAAAACTTCGGCTGGTGGCGTCGGTTCTGACAGTGGCCGTCTGTTCGTTGTACATGAACCGAGGGACAATGATGCATGCTTCGGGTGCAAAGTGCTGCCGTGCGGGATCCCACAAGTGCTTGTGGCTCACGCAGCCGAACCCATTCCTGAAATCCATTGCTGCCGCGAGTGGGAGACGCCAGCAGTGATATTACTCCTGTAGTAGTGCCGCCATGAAAAAAGGTGGCATTCGGTGCTGAAGCCACATCAGAGGCCGGCTTGGTCGAGGCTGTGTTGCGCGTCGAATGTGGCTTCCAGTCGATTGCAGAGGAGACGGGACAACAAATTGCACAGTGGGATGATGGCAATCGGCCTGTACTTGTGTGGTAACATGGTGTCTCCAGACTTGAACATCACCGTGATCGCTGTTTTCTTCTATTGTACATGAGGTTGGCGAGTCGGTTCGATTATGTCATTGCAAAGCTGACGTAGCTGTGGAACAGAGGCGGTTCCTCTGGCTGTAAATAGTTCTGCTGCGAGCCTGACAATGTCGTTGCACGTGCCGTTTCCTCAGCTGCCTGAGGGTTTCGCTAAGCTCGTTCATTGTGAACGGTGGTACAGCCAGGCTTGATTGGACAGGACGCGCAGGTGGGCACAAGATCCTCCTGAGGGCCACATTGTCATAGGAATGCAGAAGGCATGGGTCTCGAAACACGGGACACAAGGGTACCCTTGATTTGGCAGGGTCGACCTACCAATCGACCGCGACTGTGTGCTGGAGTCTGCCGTCGCGGTGGCACTGTTCGCATCGTCGGTGCCGCTCTGCGGGCTTTTGTCTGGTTCCTCGCGAGAGGTGCCTGGCAGTCTCTTCTTCGCCCGCGGAGGTCGTCGTAGGCGCAATGCGGAGGGGGAGGGAGAGAGAGAGAGAGGGAGCATAGGGGAGAGGTAGGCTCTTCTGGTTGAAACGAGATTCGATAACAAAGCTTGCGAGGCGCAAAGGGGGGAGAGAAAGAGAGAGAGAGAGAGAGAGAGAACAAAAAAAAAGAGAACAACACAGAGAGAGAGGGAGATGAGCAAAAAAACACAAGCAAGACGATAGGAGATGAGAGGGACGAGGACAGGAGGAGAGAGGGGATGAGCGGCGGTGGGAAGGGGGCCGGTGGGGGGGGGGCACAAACACTCCAGAGCCTTCCACCACCACACCCCTGGGGGACCACTGGAAAACTCCAAACACACCACATCATCCCGCCCTCGCCTTCGCCTCCTCCCCCAGCCTCCCCGTTCTCACTCGTTCACAATTGCCCCTCCTCGCCCCCGTCCCCACACATATCATCATCCTCGTCCTCCGTCCTAAATTTCCTCCATCATGATCCCTCCTCCTCCACCTTCTTATCCTCCTGGTTGTCCTCATCACATCTCCTTCCCCCGCCCTCCTCCTCTCTCCCACTCCTCCCTCCTGCCGCCATGCTCCACCAATATGCGCCATCCTGCTACGTCATCTCTCCTGCTCATGCTCATAGTCCTTCGTCCCCTCCTTCTCCTCATCATCATCATTCTTCTCCTCCTCCTCATCATCATCCTCTTCCTTCTACTGATCAACATCCGCCTTATCATCCTCAGAAGCATCAGCAGAATCAGCCGCCTCATCATCCTCTTCTGTCCTCACCATCCCTCTTTTCCTCCTCCCTTCTCCTTCCCCCCCGCCGCTCCCCCCAATTATACATTATCTTCCCCGCCTTCCTCCTCCTCCTCCTGCTCCTCCTCCTCCTACTCCTCCTCTTGCACTCTTCAACTCTCCTTCTTTCCTCCATCCTGCGCCCTCATTCCCCCTCAGCACATCACCCTCCAACTCCTCAGAAGGCGAAAGACTGTGCAGCGAGGGGCCCCCGTTGGGCGCCTGGCCTGGCTTAGCAGTAGCGGCAGGGCTCCCCTCTCCACACCCACCTGCGGCAGGGGGTTGGGCGAGAAGCAGGAGGAGGAGGAGAAGGAAAAGGAATGAAATATAAGGAAAGAGCGAGGAGGGAACAGGACGATGGAAGGCGGAGGGAGGGAGGGTGGATGGAGCGAGGAGGGAAGGAGGCGGAGGGAGGGACGGAGGACGGCGGAAGGAGGCAAGGAGGCAGAGGGAGGGGGAAAGGAGGATGAAGGAGGGAGTGGGGCATTGGGAAGAGACTGCCCGGAAGAAGGAAGAATGGAGGTCGTCTAGCGCTTCCAGACTATTTCGAATGTTGCCTGAAGGTTTCGGCTGCCTTTGGAGGGTTCTGAAAGAGGAGGAGCGAGGAGCCAGAAATTCCATGTGGGGGGGCTGCCACGAGTTCCTGCGCATGCGAGGCAGTAGGCACTAACTTCCCTGGAAGAATGGCCGACGCTGAGAGCGCACTCTTGGCCTCACTGTCTTGCACCAGTGCACCAGTGCGAGGGAGGCGGAGGAGGAGTAGAACGACGACGACTGCGAAGACAGGAAGAGCCAGGAGCAGGAAGAGAAGGACAAGGAGGAGAAAGTCCAACCCAGCCAGATTCGTTCAAGCCAGATGTGTAAGAAGACGACCCCACTTGGAAGAACTGCTGGCCCCAAAACAACAACAGCGTATGATATCCTGGGTTGATTACGTCACGTGTGCGTGGCCACGACCGCATAATCATCATTCACAACAGCTGCCGTCATGCAAGACGGGCTTCCTGCCTTCACTCACAGTTGACATTATGGGGCGACCCCAGCAAATGCCTATGGGCGAAATGAACGACTGTAAAGACTCCCGACGCTAAGGCACATGCACAGCTGCACAAAAGACAAATGTCCTCCCCCTTCAGTGTTCCGCCTCCCTCGGGACCTACCCCGTTCCAAAGGAACCCTGAAATGGCTTCAGGGCGGTACGCTGAATCGCATCACCCTGGCAGGGCTCCGCCTCAAACAAATACGGACCGCAAAGCTGTCCACTACCGTCGCAAATCCACTTTCCCAAGGACGTGCATTCCGGCAGATCCACCTTCTGAATGTGGGGGTTGTTGGAGAACAGCAGCGCCAAAATCTCCAGGGTCCGCACCCGGACGGGCCTCGCTGCCAGTGGGGAAAGGAACAACCGAGCGGGACAGTAGCAGGAGACGCGTAGGAAAGACGGCGGGATAACAAATATCGGTATGAAGGGAGATTTCACCCAGCTTCGACAACTGGCACATCGCCCAAGACCCCGACTGCATGACCTCGACGTGCCCGAAGCGTATCAGTGCGTATCTGCACAGACCGAAGTAAACGCATGGACACTGCGCGACAAGGTCAGGAGGGATACATGCAGGCCGCGGCCGCCCAGCCTACGACCTCAGCCTCTTCGCCTCCCCCTCCTCCTCCTCCTCCTCCTCCTCCTCCTCCTCCTTCGCATGCTCGGTTCTCAATCTTTTTTTGAGATCCGCGGATCTGGGGGCATCCTCGGCCAGCGACAGAGGATCTCATCCGGCGGGCCTCTGGAGGCAGCAGGGGCCAGCATCGGATCGGGAAGCCGGATCGACATCGAAATCTTAAGGAAACGAACAATGCCATTAACAAAACAGTTCGGAGGTCCGCGCGATTTTCTCGGATCGGCGCTGGACCCCTCTCCCTGGCGCGCGGAGCGCGCCAGGGGCGGCGCCGGAGGCGCCGCCAGGGGGTCCAGCGCCGATCCGAGAAATCCACGCGACCTCCGAGTTTTTATGTTTATATCATTGCTCGATCCCCTAAATCTGATCGAAACTGTCGGAATCGGGGCCCAAGTCTGACATCGCCGTATCGGGATCGAAAGTCGGAAGCGGAAGGTCGGATCAGAATCGCATCGATCTGGCCAGGCCGACGGTGGACCCAGGAGCGGAGTAGGTGCCTGCCTGCCGCAGACAGGGCGTATACTCCCCTCCTCCTCCTTCTCATCCTCCTCCTTATCCTCCTTATCCTCCTCCACCGTCTCCTCGTCCTCCTCCTCCTCCTTCTCCTCCTTATCCTCCTCCTCCTTCTCCTCCGCCTCCTCCTCCTCCTCCTCCTCCGCCTCCTCCTCCTCCTCCTCGCCGTCCGCGCCGCCGCGACATGTGTCCATTTGAAGCAGAAGGCCGCCTGCCCAACAGCGGCCGCTGATGGTGTGGGGCAACACTTGTTGTTGGGCATTGTGTCGCCTTTTCCGTACCCTTTCCGGGTGCCCAAATCCGCGGGCGCGCGCGGCGGGCGGCAGGTGCCCGGACGCGTCCGGCGCGGTCACCAGGTCGAGCAGCGGCTGCGTGCCGTTGAGCTTCTCCACGTTGCGGGCCACGTCGGGGTCGTCGCAGAGCCTGGCGCGCGCTCGGGGGGGGCAGGGGGGCTCTGTGGGCGCGGCCCGCCGCTCGACGCCCCAACGTGCGCTCGCGCTTGCGCACCGCGCGGCGGGAAGAGAAGGAGGAGGAGGAGGAGGAGGAGGAGGAGGAGGAGGAGGAGCAGGAACAGGAGCAGGAGGGGGGAGGAGGACAAGGAGGACGAGCGAGGAGGACAGGTAGGCGACAGATAGGAGGAAGGAGCAAGAGGGGGGGGGAGGAGGGTAAGGAGGAGGAAGGAGGAGGAGATGGAGTGGCAAGGGAGGAAAAAGGATGAGGAAGGCAAGAAGGAGAAGGAGGAGGAGATAGGAAGGGAGGAGGAAGGAGGAGGAAGAGGAGGCACAGGAGATGGAGGAAGACGAGGGACGTGCTCGGCCCAGGTTTGGCCAACCTCGTCGCCCAGCTCCGAGGGAGGGAGGGGGCCTGGCCGATCGATGATGGGGCGGCAAGTTCCCAGACCCCCGACGTCATGATTTCTTCGTGACGTCTGCCCCCACAGGCCTCGAGCCATTCCCCGACACCGGCTTTTCATCCCGAGTCGTTTTGTCGACGGCCCCGAGGCCCAGCGAGGGCCCCTGGAGGCCGAAAGTATAACGAAGAACCAAGGGGGCTCAAGGGGGTCTGGGCTCAAGGGGGTCTGGGCTCGGAAGCCGACGATGGGGCGGCGAGGCTGGCGGAGCCTGCCTGGCCCGCGGGTCAGGTCGGACATGTCCCTCTACAGGCGGATACAGATAGTCAAACATGGCCAAAAGAGCCCGAGAAATCGCCACCAGATTACTTGTTTTACTGCCCTGAGAGATTCCTCCCGTAGAGGCACACGCCCGACTCACGCCTCGGGACGGCCAGGAGGCCGAAAGAACAGAAACAAAAACTCCCGCCCTGATTTTTTTTCAAGACTCGAGCGGTGTCTGGGCGCGGCGAGCGACGATAGAGCGGCCAGGTTGGCGGAGACTGCCTGGCCCGTGGCGGGCAGCGCCGATCTCGCGTCATCATCATCATCATCATCATCATCATCATCATCATCATCATCATCATCATCATCATCACCACCTTCATCATCATCATCATCATCATCAGCATCATCATCATCATCATCATCATCATCAGCATCAGCATCAGCATCAGCATCAGCATCATCATCATCATCATCATCATCATCATCAGCATCATCATCACCACCATCACCATCACCATCACCATCACCATCACCATCACCATCACCATCATCATCATCAACAGCATCATCATCATCAGCAGCATCAGCATCATCATCATCATCATCATCATCATCATTATCATCATCATCATCATCATCATCATCGGCATCGGCATCATCATCATAATCATCATCATCATCAGCATCATCAGCATCATCATCAACAACATCAGCATCAGCATCAGCATCAGCATCATCATCATACTCTTCATCATCATCAGCATCACTATCATCACCACCATCACCATAACCATCACCATCACCATCATCATCATCATCATCACGATCATCATCAGCATCATCATCAGCAGCATCATCAGCATCATCATCAGCATCATCATCAGCAGCATCATCAGCATCATCAGCATCAGCATCATCACCACCATCATCATCATCATCATCATCATCAGCATCATCATCATCATCATTCTCAGGTCGTCCTCATCATACTGCGCGGAAGCATGTACCCTGACCAGATGCTTCCTGGCCCAGCTTTTTTGGGGGGAAGCTTCCTGACCAGATGCTCGACTGTAGATGCCGATCCCCATGGTGGAAAGATACCGCTGCCCATGGTAGCAGCGCAGGCCTATGCTGGGCGGGCCGGGACAGCCTGGAGCGAGCGGCCTGGGCAGTGGTCGGGTCGTGGGCGGCCCCGGGGCTGGGTGCGACAGCGGCCCGCGGCAGGGACGCCGCGAGGCTGCGTGTTCCGAGCACGTCCTGCTCCTGCATGTCGCCCCCGCTCCTGATCCACCGTCGGGGTGCTCATCCCGCTCCTGCTGCTCCTGTTGCTCCTGTTGGTGCTGTTCCTCCTTCGCCTGCTCATCCTCCTTCCTCCCCCTCCTCAGCCTCCTCCTCCTCCTCCTCCTCCTCCTCCTCCTCCCTCCTCCCTCCTCCCTCCTCCCTCCTCCTCCAGTTCCTCTTCCACCTCCTCCTCCTCCAGTTCCTCTTCCTCCTCCTCCTCCTCCTCCTCCTCCTCGCCTGCGTCCTCGACCTGCGAGAGGCTGGCGCGACGGCTCGGGCGCCTGTCGATCACCTCGAGGGCGGTGGTCATGCTCTCGCCCGTGCGGTCGGGGGACCGCACCTGAGCAGGTAGCGGAAGGGAGGCGGCCTACGTGACATCAGATGGGTATGCTCCTCCTCCTCCTCCTCCTCCTCCTCCTCCTCCTCCTCCCCCTTCTCCTCCTCCTCATCCTCCTCCTGTCGCCAATGCAGTGTCCATCATCTTGACGGCATCTGTACAATTAAAGTCTTGACAGAGAATGGCATTCGACAGGAATCGAAACCCATTTTGGGGACCCGCTTGCGCCCAGGTGTATGACGAGCGCTGGATGAAACACTTGAGGACGGACTCAAGGACCCACGACACCCCTTTCGAAAACCAAAAAGAGTATTGCAACAAGGCAGTGGCTGACAACCTGTCAAGACGTAAAGTTGGCTTTCTTGTACCCCTCTCGATCGTCCACCCGCTTGTTTCGATGTGCATATATTTATGCATATGTATATATGTACACATAAACATAGATGTATATATATAAAAATATGTCTGTATTTCTATTATGTATATATATATATACATGTATTAACATCCATACGTATATGTACACTGACACGCAATCTATACACATATCCATACGAGTGGCGGGGACAACAGAGAACTTCAATCCCTGCGTGAGCGCTAGTCGTGCGGCTGCCCACGCTAGCGTACGGCCAGAGGCCACGATCCCAGCAACTCCAGAAGTACTACAAAGCAGCTCCAGAGCTACTACTCCAGCAACTCGTGGGCTCGCGCGAGAGGTCACAACAAGCGTAATTGTGTTCGCGGTTTCGGCGTATGGAAGGGGCAATCAGGGGCCTCGAAGACAACAAGAACAAATATCCCCGACGAAGGTCCCAATCTCGGGGGATTCGGTCAAGAGCTCGGGGGCCGCGTCGTTACCCAAAACACGGCGTCGGGAGTCTGGGTATCAAGTCGCCTCGTCCATGGTGTTACGCAACGCGCCGGCAGGGGGTGATATTACCCTATGTTCGAGGGCAGACAATCCACCCCGATAATAACCCCCCGACACGCGAGGCATTTAGCAAACGCGCACAAAGAAGGAATCGAACAGGGCAGGGCTGTTGAGTAAACGCCCAGGGCCGTTCAGCAAACGCCAATTGTCAGGTCTGGGTAGCTTTTCCTCCCTTGATATGTGGTGGCGTGGCGACATAGACGGGTATGAAGATGGAGATGGCCAAAAGCAGGAGGACGAGGAAGAGATAGAGGAGAAGGGGGCCTGGAGGGAGGCGAGGAGGAGGGTCAACTAAATTCTGTCCACGTGTCACGAACTGGCCGGCTATCAGAAATGCAGACAAAAAGAACACGATCGGGAACTCCTGCTTGCCGTGTCGCAGCGGAGGCCCTGGCGACACGCTCCGCCCTGCGAGCTGATGGCGTGTCGGTCGCTCCGCGGAGAGGAGGTCGGGAAAGGATCGCGACGTTGACGCCTCGGGACTGGGACATCGATAGCGTGTCGTGCTGCAGCGTGGTGGGCCAGAACCGCCGGAACGACAAGCTGAGCCCAAAATCCTGGCCGTGCACTCGCCCTTCCGCCAGAGGGAAGCGGTCTCCGCTGCCCACGCAGGGTCGCAGGGGTGCCCGTCGTAGTCGTTTTTTCTACGAGCCGCTCTCCCCAAGGCGGACACGTCGGGCACTTCCAACATGCAGGGGGCGGCGGGCGGATGCCGCCACACACCCGAAGCCGAAATCAAAGAGAGCGCGTGGGGCACAGACAAAGCGACACGAAGGGCCACCCGTGACAACTATTGCCCGGGCATGTTGGGGCAGACGAAGCAGGCTGATGTGTGTAGCACTTGCACGGGGCAAACGTGTACACTGCTAGCGTACCCGTCTGCGCCCGCAGAGCTGGGGCAAGAGACGCGCCCAAGCTGCCTCGAGAGTGCCTACCGCGGCCATGCTTCCGAGGGGAGGGCGCGACAGACGACGGCGACGACGAGGAGGGGGGCCAAGGACCTGAGGCAGGCGAGGAACGAGGAAGGAGGGAGAGGCAGCAGGCCAGGAGGCGCAGCAAAGCACGGGGCTGCTGGGCGTGGAGCCGCCGGGTGGACAGATAACGAATTGCCCCGCCCCCCGCTGCTTCGGCCGCAGGCCAGAGGATTCGAGAAGCGAGGCGGGGATGCGACACTGGAGGAACGAGAAGGGGAGAGGGGGGGACCAAAGGAGGAGGAAGAGGAGGAGGAGGAGAAGGAGGAGGAGGAGGAGGAGGAGGAGAGGAGGCGGAGGAGGAGGAGGAGGAGGAGAGGAGGAGGAGGGAGGAGAGGAGGAAGGAGGAAGGAGGAAGAAGGAGACGGAGGAGGAGGAGGAGAAGGAGGAAGAGGACGAGGAGGAGGGCGGAGTGGGCAGCGTGGTTGCCCAAAGTTGCTGCTCCGCGTGCTGGCGGCCAAAATGTGTGCAATGCCCAACAACGCATGTTGTCCCAAGCCAACAGCGGCCGCTGTTGGGCAGGCAGACAGCGAGTCCTGTTCAAAATGAACAGAAACTGCTGTTGGGCATTGTACCCATTCTTTCCGTATCCATATCGAGCGCGCCGAATTGCAGCCCTCGCCCAGAAGTAGACACAAGCACCGGCGAGCCCCAAGTCGAATGCGTTCTGGCAGCCCGCGGCCTCCGGGCACAGAAAAGAAGGGAAGGAGGAGGAGGAGGAGGAGGAGGAGGAGGAGGAGAAGGATGATGATGATGAGGAGGAGGAGGAGGAGGAGGAGGAGGACGAGGAGGAGGAGGAGGAAGGCGTGCTTGCAAGCACATCAGCCGCACGCGGAGGGGCGACGGAGGGATAGGAGCAGGAGGATGTCGATCCCGCTGCCGATCCTTGAGCCACCACGTGTGTAAGGCAGATACTGCCATCGGCCACACGACGGGGACAACAGTGGGAGACAGTGGCGAGCAACACTCCGCACCCCGAACCCCAACTGAGGAGTGGAGCCGTGGGGAGCCTCAAGCCGCACCCGAATCCCTGCAGCAACAGAGTGGGACAGGAGCGTGCGTCAAGCCGCAGCCCGAGCCCGATATGACCGTGAAGAGAGCAACCGTCCTGCTCCTCTGCCCCTGCAAATGCTGCAGAAGCACGGACAGGCCAGCACAAGGCGACAGAAACCGTCAATGCTACGTCAGAGCTCGGCTGCTACGTCTTGCCTCGTTCCTCGGCCTGGTGCTGTGCTGGCGTGCGCGCGCGCGTGCATTCATGCACGCATGGCGCTTTAATGAATGCGCATGCACTGGGAGAACGGGCCAAATTAGACACTGCACCACGTTCGGCGCAACGCACGCTAACGATTTGCACGCACGACGGCCCAACCTCACAGAGCTCCGGCCGCGGGTCGGACCACGTCACGCACACAAGCTCGATCCGGAGCGGTGCCCTCTTCTCTGCGCGTGTCTGCCCACCCCGACAATAAAAATGCCAGCGGGGAATTAAACCAAACTGCACACACTGTCTAGCACGCAGAAGTACGAATCCGTTTGAACCCTGCTCCGTTCGTGATGCATGATCCGCGTCGATGCAATACTCCAGGGACGCATGCCCAAGCATACTCCGCACCGCCAAGGGGGACTTCCAGGCGCAAGCCAGAAGCATCCGCCTGCCAGTGTTTCAAATTCTTCCACATTTACGCGCATTCAATAAGAATGCCTCTCTCCGAGCCCTCCGCAAGACCGTCATCAACGAGGTCGGAAAGCATTTCCACCTCTGGCTCAACAGTGCTGGCCCAAATCACCTGGCGATGATGTAGCCGACGGCGTTCCGTTCCACATGTGTTTCCATCCGATTGGAATCGTCGCAAGAGCCTGCATCCAAGCGGCGCTGGTCAGGATGCAGCCTTTTGCTGCGCGCCCCTTGACAAGTTCGCCACAATCCGCCGCAACCTCCACCGAACAATCACGATGCTCTACTCGTCGTCGAGACCACGATTACAGGCCCAGCTCCGGCCAAAACAACTGTGAGGGCAGGTCGGGGTTCTTCAGAACCGCTTGGCCTTCGACATACACAAACCAAACATATATATACATATGTATATATATATAGATATATGACCACCACCCTTCGGGTGATAAGGAGGTGAGGGAGGAGGAGGAACCAACGTGTCACTCTATACATCTCGCGATCGATCCCACTATCGATCTCACTATCGATATCACTCGATCGATCTCACTATCGATCTCACTATCGATGTCACAATCGGTCTCACATCCAATCTCATGATCGATCTGATTCAGTCGATCTCACTATCGATATCACTATCGATCTCACATTCAGTTCCACTATCGATCTCACAATCGATCGCACACTCGGTCTCACATTCGGTCTCACTATCGATCTCACTATCGATTTCACCATCGATCCCACAATCGGTCTCATAATCGATCTCACTATCGACCACACTATCGATCTCACTATCGATCTCACAATCGATCTTACCATCGATCTTACCATCGACCCCACAATCGGCTTCACTATCGATCTCACTATCGATCTCACTATCGATCTCACATTCGGTCTCACTATGGAACTGACGATCGATATCACAATCAATCTCACAATCGATCTCACAATCGGTCTCACTATCGATCTTTCAATCGATCTCGTAATCGGTCTCACTATCGATCTCACAATCGATCTAACTATCGATCTCACAATCGATCTCACAATCGATCTCACTATCGATCAGACTATCGATCTCACATTCGATCTCACACTCGATCTCACTTTCGGTGTCACTGTCAATTTCACGATCGATCTCACTATCGATCTCACTATCGATCTCACTGTCGATCCAACATTCGGTCTCACATTCGGTCTCACAATCGATCTCACTATCGATCTCACCATCGATCTCACTATCGATCCCACTATCAGATTATGGATCTCACAATATATCTCACTATCGATCTCACTATCGATCTCACATTCGGTCTCACTATCGATCTCAATCGATATCACAATCGATCTCACAATCGGTCTCACATTCGGTCTCACTATCGATCTCACTATCGATCTCACTATCGATCTCACTATAGATCTCACGATC